AAAAAAAAAAAAAAAAAAAAAAAAATTTGTCAACTGCTTTACTAAACATCATTGTTTAGTATAGACTCCCCAAGCCATATGATCAGAAGAGGGAGAAAGATAACCAGCAAAAGGAAAGAAGAGAGATAAAAGGGTATTTAAAAAAAAAAAAAAAAAGGAAATGTAGAGCTCTGAGCATGGGCATCAACAGAAGACTTTAAAAAGTAATAGATCAATATTTTGTGACAAATGGTTTCCATGTAAGACAATATGGTTCTTTAAGGGCAAATGCCAACATCAGACATGAGTGGTTCCTCTGGTGTTTCTTTCATAATAAAAACCCATACCTGGATTCAAAGTCTAAAGACATGGGTACTAAATCTCACCTCTGTAACATACAGCTAATCATTTAACCTTTGAAGTTCCTCATGGACACTGAAGTACCCAACCTCATGAAATAATGTATCTGTGTTCCAAGAGGAGCTGGTTTTAAGTGGGCTATGCAGATAAGCACAAGAGATATATGGAAGGTCACTCCTGTGGTCACACAACCAAAACCAGAGAATACCTCCTCCCTCCCCATCAAAAATCAGTGGCACTAAATAAAACTCTATCATCCCAGGGATGGCAGAAAATCCAAAGCATAACAAAACATGGATATCTTTTTTTTTTTTGAGATGGAGTCTCACTGTGTTGCCAGGCTGGACTCAGCTCACTGCAACCTCCACCTCCTAGGTTCAAGGGATTCCCGTGCCTCAGGCTCCCGAGTAGCTGGGATTACAGGCACGTGCCACCACACCCACCTAATTTTTATATTTTTCACAGAGACAGGGTTTCACCATGTTGGCCAGGATGGTCTCAATCTCTTGACCTCGTGATCGACCCACCTTGGCCTTCCAAAGTGCTAAGATTACAGGCATGAGCCACCGTGCCCGGCCCAAAGAAAGCATGGATATCTTACCAGCCTGAAAGATGTAGGCTTAGAGTCAAGGCATGTTGAGTCACAGATAATGAAAAAACTGCAGTATTTCTTATAAACTTGTTTCTGGCCTGAGGTCTGTACCTGGTTGAAATCTATGCCAAATCACCGAAGAAACAGAAAATTGGCTCGGCAACATAGCAAGACTTCATCTCCACTGGGGGGAAAAGAAAAAATTAACCAGGTATAGTGGTACATATCTGTGGTCCCAGCTACTTGGAGGCTGAGGTAGGAGGATTGCTTGAACCCAGGAGTTCGAGGTTGCAGTGAGCTATGATCATGCCACTGCACTTCAGCCTGGTCGACACAGAAAGACCATCTCTCAAAAAATAATAATAATAATAAATAGAAAGAAATAGAAAATAGTGACTGCAACTTCTCTCACCATTATAGAGTGTTCAAAGAGATTTTTATACCATACTTAAAAATTGTTGCTAACCTGAATGGGTAGACAATTCCTGTGCTGCCACAGAAGACATTACAGTAGAGGGACCTGCAGAGAGAGGTTAATATTTCCAGGGAAATGAGAGACAGGAAATATCCTGGCAAGTCCAAAAGACTTGTGGAAGACCTGAAGAGATTGACCTAAGGAGAAGGATAGTAGAAACACAACTGAAGGGGCCAACATCTTAGAATTCATCTAAAAACTGCAAGTAATCACACAAGTAGGATGTTCTACCAATATTTAATATTCTGTTAATATTTTAATAAAACAGATACAAAATAAACAAAATTTCAAACATGAATGAGAAAATACCCATTCTCATGTGGGTTGCCAGTACATGACAGGTGGTTGCCAATACTTCTACAGGCAACTACATGTCTACTTGTGTTTTCTGTGTTTTTTTTTTTTTTGAGATGGAGTTTCACTCACATTGCCCAGGCTGGAGGTGCAATGGCACAATCTCAGCTCACTGCAACCTCCGCATCTTGCGTTCAAGCGATTCTGCTGCCTCAGCCTCCCGAGTAGCTGAGATTACAGGCATGTGCCACCACACCCACTAATTTTGTATTTTTAGTAGAGACGGGGTTTCTCCATGTTGGTCAGCCTTGCCACCACGCC